CTATGGGGGTATAAGGGGGGCCCCTGTCAGGATTCTCCTGCGTATTTCAATACAGCCCTGAACCCCTTAACCCTAAACCCCTAAATCCTGAACCCCTAAACCCTAAACCCCTTGACCCTAAACCCCTAAACCCCTAAAGCCTAAACCCCCAAACCCTAAACCCTTATTCCTTATTAAGAGGCCAGTAGGATGAGCTGAACAATCTTGCTCGCCCTGCGCTCGAATTTGGCTCGAGCCCGTGGATCACACCCTAGTTTTGTCCTTAGTATTTAGGGTTTAGGGTTTAGGGTTCAAGGTTTAGGGCTTAGGGTCTAGGGTTTAGGGTTTAGGGTTTAGGTATATTTGGGTTATATTGGGATAATGGGAATAAGATGGGCACTACTATAATGTGCGTTATGAGAGATCCATTGGAGCTTTGGAAAAACGGCGGGCTCCATACAGCTCCATAAGCAAAGCCAGTTTCCATTTGATTTTCTAGTTCATTTTCCATTTGATTCTGATTTTTTCTACTTGAATAGGCCCCTAAAGTCACATGATCCGGTCCCACTTCTTAGGTTTGAGGGGGCTTCAGGGCCAAAGCGCTTGCATTGGTCAGCGGGTTGATACACGAAAGGGCGCGCTCCCCGGTTCCAAGGGAGCGGGGCTGTGCAATGGCAACCAACCTGGCGTTCGTACTGAGCCAGGAAGTCCAGGGTTTAGGGTTTAGGGTACTGAGCCGGGAAGTCTTTGGCCTTGTCATGCGTGTCAAGTTGGGTGAGTGCCGCTTTTGAGTGGTTTGCAGGGCACAAGGGAACATAGTCCTCATAACCACCCAAAATCATATAGTCCCTCATTTCGTACTCACCCTAAACCCCAAGCCCCACACCCTCTATATATATATATATACACACATACATACAAAACTATTACTAATATATACGTATTACAATATCATGTAACATATATATATATATGTATATACACACACATATTTTTCCCAATAATCCCTACTAACCCCCAGTAAGTAACTCAAGCCGTCTGGCTGCGGCTGGCCCGAAGGATCCCGCGGAGCACCTGGGTACTCTGGCAGACACCTTGCAGAGTGCCAACCAGGCCACAGAATACAGGGTTTAGGGGTTTAGGGTTTAGGGTTTAGGGGTTTATTGTTTAGGGTTTAGGCTTTGGGGTTTAGGGTTTAGGGTTTGGGGTTTAGAAGTTTAGGGGTGTAGGGTTTAGGGGTTTAGGGCTGGCTATTAGAGGCATAAGTACTATTATGACTATTGCTAGTGTTATCTACTTTGTTATTATCATTATTCGCATTATCATTTCCGTTATTGTTACCATTAAGATGATTACCATTGCTGTAACTGCTATTGTTATTCTTATGGTTACTATACTTACTACTATCAATAGTAGTATTACTATGACTATTATGACTGCTATTGTCATTTTCAGCATCAAAAATACACTATTTTTCATTATTATTTGCCACTATTACTATTCTTCGTAATCTACTACATTTATTATCATTATTACTGCATCTCGAATTCTGCGCTCTGACTGATAGCTCCGGACTGCCAGATTTGTTTGAGTTTGGGCTCAGACCCTCCCCAAAGGATCCAAAAAGTGGAACCTCCCTAAAATGAGCCCATTATGACAGGCGATTACTGGGAGGTTTCAGTCTCTGGTCCCCTAAAACCCTAAACCCTAAATGAGTAGTATTTTATTTTGGGATACCCTGGTACCAAATATAGAATAAGATGATATCTTCCTTTTGGGTACAGTATTTTATATGAGGAATATAATCTTACTAGGTTCAACCACCAAAAAAAACCTAAACCATAAACCCCTAAACCCTAAACCCTAAACCCCCCAAACCCTAAACCCTAAACCCTAAATGGGGCAGGATGCTGTTGCCTTAGCGGCTCTGGTCGTCGGGACGATACTGGCAGTGCGCGGTCGCGCAGCTTCTCAGCCCAAAAAAAGGGATTTTATGAGCTATAGCCGAGGAGGACCCCCCACCCTGTAATAGTGATATAGTAGGAATATAATAGGACCTTAGTAATTATAATCCTTATTATCCCTTATAGCCACTATTACAGGGTGGGGGGTCCTCCTAAGCTATAGTCGAAGCTCCTGAAAGGGGGTTATATAAGGGATTTTTTGGGAGTATTATAGGGGTTATTAAGGGGGATACTAGGAATTTTGACGATAGCTCATATATTATGTTCCCTGGTTCCTTACTTACCACCAGTAAGGCAAACTTCTATCCAGAAAAGGCATTTGCAACCTATTGGGGGGTTAGTGGGGAATTACTGGGTTGCTGCTATTATGGTAACTTAATTTAAGTTCCTTCACAGCAACAGAGATTAGGGAATATATTCCATAGGGATTATATAGGCCATTATGTTCCCTGATTCCTTACTTACCACCAGCAAGGCAAACTTTGTCCGGAAAAGTTTTTGCATCCCTAAACCCTAAACCCTAAACCCAAATCCCCTAAACCTTAAACCCCTAAACCTTAAACCCCTAAACCCTAAACCCCTAAACCCTAAACCCTAGTGATGGAAGCTCTGAGGTCATCAAGTTCCTTTTTGTCTTTTGCTTTTCGCTATCCATCACGCTTTGGACCTGCAGCTCGGTCTTCAAGTGGAACTTCGCTAGCTTGCTGTAAGTGCTCTTTCTGAGACACCTGGGTTTGCCCAAATTAGGGGCACCTTTTTGGGGAGGTGCCCAGTGAAAGGATGAGAATTAGGGTCTATACTGGGTCCACCATGTCTATGGAAACTTTGGTCATTTACAGGGCCAGGTGTGCATTCCGTAAACCCCAAACCCTAGCCGCGTGCGACTCCTTTGTTTGAGGCCTTGCCGCGAAGAAGGACATGTGCCGAGATCAGTTCCAGGGGCTAGATGTCCATGGCCCACATCCATGGGATAAACACTGAGCATCTCCAGCAGTTCGTTGGGAGTGGTTTGCGCTCAGCTTGCCAATGAAAAGCGGCTGAATCTCTTTCGGGGGCATACACCCCTTCTGCTTGGGGCTTTGGGGAGCGTTTCCTAACTCGACTTCGGCTCTAAAGCAGTCCATTCTCTATGCTAGGTGGACCTCCACCCTGGAGTAGTAGTATCATAGGCTTCTTCTTTATATTCACTGAGCCGGGGTCCCACCTAATCTCTATGAAGCATGAGAGGATGGCCACACTGGCCTCGGAATGGTGGTGGCATCTCTGGTTCTACCCTGTGCTGTGCCCTGGCGCAGCACAACATTGTTCATGAAGGTAGGGACTCCCTTGGCTATTCATGGAGTGCGCTAGAAGGCATGTCAGCCGAACATGTCAGTATTTAGAAGCGCCGTCTGCGTGGGGTTTGACGAAGGGAGTACAAAATCTGCCCCCCAAACTAGGTGATGGCAGCTGACCGGTTGTACCTGCTCTTCTGCTTCCTCGTGGGCGGGGCGGTCGGAGGTACACTCGGTTATGCCTTTAGAGGCAGGAACCCGTTCAACTATGCACGGAGACAACTCTGTTTGCTGCTGCAAGCCCGAGCTACTATCACTTTTCTTGCTATTGTTACTCTTATTGTGATTAGTATTTTTTCCGCGTTTTTATTCTCATTTTTTTTATTCCCTGTCATTACTTCAAACTTCAAAAACTGCTATTTCTTACTATTGCCCTGAGCCCTAAAAAACCCTCAACCTCGCAGGCTTGATTTCACTGCCAGCTCTGGCTGTCGGTCTTCTGGTCGTGGCCTCCTTGGTTTCAGGCACCTGCAGGATTACAATACTAGTGCTAATAAGAGTAGTAATAATAGTAGTCAATTGTAGCAAATAGTAATAAATGGTAACTGTAACCAAATAGTAGTAATACTAGTAGCAAATCGTAACAGATAGTAATAGATAGTAACCTCATTTGATGCGTCATGTCAGGCCTTGTGTTTCTCCGCTGGCGAAACCTTGGCTGGCGTCTTCTCTTGCCCCCGCTTGGTGCGCTGCTTCTGGGAGCCAGCCTTCGCTACTGCTTCGCTCGCGTGGCTAAGCAACAGTAAGCAACACCAGCGTACACGAAGGTATACGCATCAGTCACGCAATGCATTAGAGACTGATGCTGAGGTGCTTCTTGACGGCTCCTTGGTTGATGCTCATTCGTTGATTGGGCGGGGGATCCATAGGGCGGGCTGCAATTCCCCTATGCGCCGTATCTATCCAAGAATATCAGCGATGACTTGCTGTGGTCTTAGGCGAGGCGCACTGGTTGGACTTTGCTTACGCCCCTTGGTCTGACTTGCAAGCTCTTGCGTCGGACGCTCTGGACGTGCCACCTGCCTGCAATCGGTGAACAACTCTTGAACAAACACAAGGGATTCGGAGTGCTTGCATGCAAAGTTGCCATTGTCAAGGTGCTTTATCTGCGCCTCGGGGGTCTTCACTTTGCTGGGATGGTACCTGCAATTTGCCAGTCTGCTGGGACTGGACGACCCTTTGGCCCTTCCGGAGCACATTGAAAATTTGCTTGAGAAGACGCAGGCCAGGCAAGCAGTGGTGCTGAAAGCATGCGAAGGTGCAGGGTTAGGGCTTCGTGCTTCGTAGTTTAGGCTTTAGGGTTTAGGGCTTGGGAATTTTGGGGATAAAGAGGGATAATGGATAATGGCAAAGAACATGGAACTACGTAAGGTTAAGCGATGTTAAAGATAGAACAACAGAACACCAGAGAGGTCGATTTTCAGCTATCTCCTTGAAGTGTGTCACGGTGTGGGGTTTAGAGCTGTACTCGGAAAGCTAAACGTCGGTTGGTGACCTCTGCGCACTAAGTTTGCATTAAACAGACTTTTGGGAACAGTACTACGGCATGTGAGCCACTGTCTAAACTCCTAGTATCCCCCTTAATAACCCCAATAATAGTCCCATAGTCCCATATATAATCCCCTATATAACCCCCTTTAAGGAGTTTAGACTATGGCTCATGTAGTCGTAAAATCTCTGTGCGCCCTCAGGGCTCCTAAATTAGCGCCCATCTTGGGAAACTGCACAGAAAAAACCTTAGACCCAAATCCCTAATCCTAAACCCTTCAGGCGATGCGTCTTGAAGCCCTAAACTTTCCGTATGGGTACAACACATCCCCCAAAAGTAAACAGTCCCTATTATAGGAACTCCCAAAACAGAGCCCCCTCATTTTTGACACCCCATAAACCCTAAAAGACACACCACTGCAAAGAGTACCCCATCTTACTTGTGCTGAGGGAATAATGGAATATAGTCCCTACATAATCCCTAATTAATACGTTCCCTTATTCCCTACTAACCTTCAACCCTTTATATTCCCTTATTCCCTACTAGCCCTGAAATCTAAACCCTACATATTCCCTTGTTCCCTATAACCCCTATAAAGCCCCTATATAACCTTGATATAGCCCCTAACATAACCCCTTCATAATCCCCAACATAACCGTTATATAACCCCTATTATAAGCCCCAATATAAACTCCCTACTAAGAACCCGTAAGCCATGGGCGGGTCAGGAGTGGCTTCCTGTGGTGTTCGACGGCTCCATGGAATCTGCTAAGCCGCATGCGCCTGCGGAAGCCCGGTCTTCTAATTCGGGCGGCTTAGGATCTAAGAGCTCAGGACGTTTAGGGTTTAGGGCGTATAAGGCTTTGCAAGAGGGAAGCTAGGTAGGGTAAAAGCCAAAGTCATGACCAAGAGTTAATCTTCATCATCTGCCTTACCTATCGGCGAAAAAAGCTTGAAGCTAGCTCCTTCCCACAATGGCTTGACATGGCTCAAGTTAACCCTACCTAAAATCTAACTTAACCTCCTCAAAATATCCTAAACCTTACCTAACTTAGGGTACCCTTGAATGAAATGACGTTGAACCCCCTAGAGGTGACTGAGCCCTTCCTGGGACGGAAGGCTGAACGTGACACCAAGCCTGAGGCGGGAGAGGTAGGTTTGTACCTCAAAAGGGGAGGGGGTTCATTATAGGGGTTATATAGAGGTATATAGAGTTTAGGATTTAGGGTTTAAGGGTAGGTATGTAGGTATCTTTGTAAGTACGTAGGCAGGTATGTAGGGAAGTAGGCATGCGGGCATGCATCAAAGGCAAGCAGCTCTGCATGGGAGTAGGAGCTGAAGCACTGCCTTCATTACGGTACCCAGACCCCGAAAGGGATCTAAAGATTAGAGCCCCTAGAAGGCTATGGGGAATTATATGGGGATTATATAGTGATTATTATGGCTTTAAACGGGATCTATTCTCAAATCCTCCCAGGGAAGGGCCAAACGGTGAGCCTGGGTCCTGTGTCCATGTAACCCACTGTAATCCCTAGTAGGCTCAAGCAGAAGGGTCCGGGTTCGGGGCCCCCCCGGCAGGTTGCTAGACTTCATGGCTCTGAGAAGATGTTCCTTTCTTCATATGAGCTACAGTCTAAACTCCTTAAAAGGGGGTTATATAGGGGACTATTAAAGGGGTTATTAAGGGGGATACTAGGAGTTTAGACTATAGCTCATATTGGTAGTGAAGTTAAGGTCTGCCTAAAGCAGAATCTTCTTTGTGTGGAGCTGGCGGCAGGTGATTCTGTTCATTGCCATACTGACCGTGCTGCTGCTGTGCGGCCTGCTGTGTAGTGACTGGGCATGGCATTTCTCTTCTTTGCTGCCTTTGAGCCGCTGAGCATGAGCATGCCTTCTGGCCATGTAATTTGAAGAAAGGCCGACCGCTGCTCTTCCTGGGCCATGTGGTTTTGATGTCATGTGCCTTCACACCGCTGATGACTGCGGGTCTCGAGCTGAGCTTCCTCAATGTACCCAGGCTCTTGTAGCGGCAGTGCACAAGAGGCTTAGCCAAGAGCTTTCTTAACATCAGTGCTTTCAAGTGAAGGCCAATATCAAGCATGCATCCTGCTCATCACACAAGCTCATCATGCTTCAGGTCTTCTAAGCTACTCATCACGATCTTCACGACAGGCGCGACCCAGCTGCACCTCAGAAAAGCTTTGGCCATGTCAGCAGAAGGCTCCGACGATTCCGTACCAAGGCTTCACGAGCACAGCGGCGCAGTATCTCTTGGGCTAGCATTGCTCTGCGCTCTGGGTGGGTATGCGCACCTTGAAGGAATTAAGCTTACTGGGGCATAGTGGGGAATGACGGAGACAGATTATATACGTAGGCATTATGCAGGGGTTGGATTCCCTTATTCCCTACTAACCACCAGTCAGTAAGAAGAAGCAGGGTACAGAAGTCGCACTCACTGTTGGCTTCAAAGCTGGAGTTCTTGTTACCATTAGTTCTATCGTTATTGTTGTTACTATTAGTATAAGGTCCTCTTCTAAAGCAGGTGCATGTATGTGGAGAACAAGCTCAACGAGACATCGCACCTCGGGCTCTCAGACGACGGCGATGTTGCTGAGAGGACCTTGCAGTTCATAGGACTCGGTACAAGCAATTGTGAGCTGTAGTCTAAATTCCCTGACGTGGGGTTATGTAGGGGACTATATAGGGTTTAGGGTTTAGGGTCTAAACTCCTTAAAATGGGGTTTATAGGGGATTATATGGGGGAGTATTATAGGGGTTACTAAGGGGGATACCCGGAATTTAGACTGTAACCCATAGGACTTGGCAATGATAGGAACAGGATGACAGTAATAATAGCGAGCAATAAATAATAGTAATGCTCGTGAAAAGTGTAAGAACAAGGAGAGAGGGGTCATAGTAACAACAGTAAAAATAGTAATGATAGAAATATTCGTAATAGCAATCATCCTATTAGCAAGACTGTTAAGTACTTGCGCAGGCTTCTTGGTAGCTTCCCTTTGCTATTTGCAAAATTTCCCCCTGCGCGTCATTTTCCTGGGTTGCTGTTCGGGAGCTTGACTTAAGCTACACTACTAGGGGAACCATACTCACCGCTATATGTATCCATTGAGGTAACTTAATTTAAGTTCCGGTTTCACCTCCGCCGCGCGTCCTACCCACATCTCTGAACAAGCTTGACCTGAATATAACCTCAGCTTCCTTTTCATGTTTCATTGTCTTTCAATGTGTTTCTCCATTGCTCATCCTATACACTCCCTAATCAGGACTATCAGGGTGCTGCACGTTTGGCTGGGCTATGCCATCCTGGGCATCTTGTGCATCTTGGCGCTGATTGCCCCTGGCATGCTCAGGGCTGGCGAGCGAAGTCGTTCAAGGAGCATTGCAACATGTCAGCGCGTCCTGGGCAAGATGATGTATGGCCTCGGAATGACAACCCAGACGCTTGGCCCAACAGCATGTGCCTGAAGGGGATCTCATCAACCAAGAGCATGGTAAATAAGTTGCTAATGGCTTCAAAATCTTTTTCAAAGCAGTGGTGTGTTTCAGGGGCGAGCATTGTTCATCTGGGGTCCTTTCTTCATCCTCTGCGAAGTCAGTTGAGTCGAGTCGAGCCCTGATTGCCCGAAGGCGTCCCCTTTAGGGTACAGGTGAGACGAACATGTGTGCAAGTGCAATGCGCGTCAATCAAGAATGCTGCCTGTTATTCCCGCCATCAAAAGCTGTCAGAATTCATCACGCGATTGATTCTACATTAGGCCGTGAGAAGCTGCTGTTGCCCAATCGCACCAGTGGATTAATATCAATAACAGTAGTAATAGTAATAGTAATAGTAATAGTAATAGTAATAGGAATAGTAGCAAGCAACATCTTTCAAGCACGTTGTCCACATGCTGCGATGTCTGCCCCGAGCAGATCTGCCCCGTTGGTCGCCGTTCCAATTCCCGCTTTATCCACCTTCCATTCGGTAGATTGGCCACATGCATTGCATTGCAAAGTGCCAATAGGAATGTAGACAGACTTCTCCCCAAGTCGGGTGGCGCAAAGCTTCCCAATATGATGCAATGCTTTCAAGTTCCAGTCATGCGATATTTGGTGCCACGGCATGTTCCAGTCAACACCCGCAGAAGGACCTACAATTCATCCCAAAACGAGCCATTGCATCCGCAAGCGGCCGAGCAGTTAAACTTGCCACTGAAGCTGCAGAAATCCCTACTGAAGGATCCTCGGCTACTTCATCGAAGGCTTGCTTCCCTCATGGGCTTCCTGGTTGCTGACATCCTCTTTGCTGGCCGTGGCCCTTGCAACGCTGGCGGCTTCAGAAGGGCCATATTCAGTCCGGGTGAGCGAGGAGGCAGGCGAACCGTAATTTCTTCACCCTGTGAATCTCAACTTAGCATCGCTTCCCAGACCCCCTAAAGGATCCAAACAATGGAACCCTCTAGTAATCCCCTAGTTTCCTCAATGTAGTAATGGGTTCATTTTTTGGATGCTTTATGGGGTCTGGGTTGCCCTAAACCCTAAACCCTTAAAGGTCAGCGGGAGTCGGGATGGCTATTCTCCTCCCGCACCGGCCCCGGCTGCAGTTCTTGGTCCTACCCGCGCCGCTCCTGCACGCGCGCCGGAAAAGCAGGCACCAGTGTGGAGACGCAAGACTGCTATTATTACTATTGTTACTATAATAGTAACAGTAATAGTAACAGTAACAGTAATAGTAACAGTAACAGTAACAGTAATAGTAATAGTAATAGTAATAGTAATAGTAGCTCACCCCCCCTCCCATGATCCACGTTTTGGTGTTGAAGCGTGGGGGTGGAGGGTTGAGAAAACCTTTGCAATGCACCAAAAGCTCAAAAATGTTAATGAGAAAATTTTACAAAAAATACAAGAATATCAACAAATT